GTAAGAGCTTCAGTCTTTCACAAACAGTTAGAAGCATGCAAATCTAACAGATAGATGGGTATAAAGTATCGTTGCTCGGTGTTAATGTTTCCACGAAAGTTTCCTGAAGTTCTCTGGCTTTGATCCAAACCGAGTTCCGCCTTTTCCTCTTGGATTTCGCCCTGCCCACTGAAACACCACCCATGCCATCCGTGCATCTGAGATATGACCGATCTCGACTGTCAGAAGGAATTAAACTAGTCATTTAGCTGATGATTTATGTAGTGCACTTACTACACGAGGTGAGTGTGTGTTGCTCAAGGACACAATGGGGTCACGAATCACCTCAAACCACAGGCTTTCATTTAGCAGCAATAATGCTCTTTCATTTCATGCACATTCATTTGATTTCGCTGATAATCTAGATTGAATCTTCTTGAGTAAACCTCAGAAAACCTACAGCTGTTCATAGGAGGCGTGTGCATTGAACCACACGAATCTTCAACTTCTGTGGTACAACCACTGGAAAAAGCAGAAGAAAAAAGGTTCAGAATCAATATTTTACTCTTAGAATTGTTTTTTTTTTGCCTTGACAAATGTTTTTCATATCATATCACTGTAAAAAAAACTATTACAACATATGTTTCTACATTGCTGTAACTCGTCAAATTAAGCATGCTGGGTTGTTTAAACCCAAAGTTGGGTCAAATATGGACAAACCCAACTATTGGGTTAAAAATTTAAATATAAGACTTAACCCAACGGTTGGGTTTGTCCATATTTGACCCAACTTTGGCTTGAAACAAGCCAGCGTTTTTTAGAGTTAGTTCACTGCAATTTAAGTTGAAATGACTCAAACATCCAAGTTGATTGTACTTAAAAAAATTAAGGCAGCAACTTTTTTTTTTTTTTTACAGTAAGACATTTTGTCCATTTAGGTCAAATACTTAAATCGAACCAATTAATTTAATAAAACCTGTAAGTTTACAAAAGTAAATGAAAAAGAAAGTATAGTTAGCAATGCACAAGATATCATAACAAAATAAACACTGCGAGAATACATCTGAAATACATTTGTTAGATTAGACACTATTAATTTAGTTAGATTATACATTCTTCATGCTTCCAATACATATATAGACTATATATATATATCATATATAATATATATATAAAGATGTGTATATGTATATAGGCTATATTTGACCCTGTTGTCATCATCACAGCAGAGCTGATCTCCTGTCAGTCTGATAAGTTTAACGCGAGGAGAGGGAAGGATCTGTATGGAGAGATACTGCTTCTATCAGCTGTCCGACAGCTTGTGTGCTTTTCCTAAAACGGAAACAAAACCTTCAGTAGTAAATTCAGCAACAACCCAGTTATTCTTAGCAGTTGTCCAGGGTTAACTTTAGACTCTTGAAATAACATGGAAGCTGTTTTTGTTCCTCCAAAATTGACTTAAGTCTGTAATATCACAGTGACTTATGCTTTATATATCTAAGCAATCTGAGAAACTCAGGTTAGATCATGACTTGAGATCGGTTGATTTTAGGTGTGTGTGAGTGCGACCCCGCCCAGTCAAACGGTTCCTGTGTGTGTGTGTGTGTGTGTGTGCCGCCGGCCTGCCGCTTTAGAGGATGTTATTTTCTCAAATATCGTTGCGGTTTGTAATGTTCCTCCTCTTCATCTGAGATTTTCTGAGCGCTTTACAGTGATGACTGAGGCTCAATTTAGCACAATATTAAAGCTTTATTCCTCCATGCTTGTAGGAACGGTTCCTGTCTTATTTATTCTTGTGTATTTCTCATTTTTTCCTTCCTCTTTATTCTTCTTCCTCTATTTGTTCATGTGAAATTTCATGCATTAGTGGTGTTTTCTGAATCCGGTTCTCTAGGTTTAGCGTAGCTTTGGGGGTGTATGCATGCAGTCTTCGTGATTGTGTGTTTGTGGTTTATTATATTATTCTTGCTGGACTTTTAGACTTCCTACATTTTGCAGGCACCGTCAGAAGTTATTTCCTGCTCATTTTGAGATGGCATATCAGAGCTCAGAGCGCTTAATCGAAATTGTTTTGATCCTGAATGAACTTTAGTAAATTATTCATCATGTCTCTCTCCAGTTTAGACCACAGAGAGACTCCTCAGACTTGCTGATTCATGTCATTTTGTCCTGCATTTTCTTTGAAATGACAACATATCATGAAAAACAGCATGACTCTGGGTGATGGGGTCTAATTAAATGGAAATAACACTGTAATTAAATATGAATTAAATTAAAATAAAGAATTATATATTTTTTTAAATTTAAATGTATTTATTTTTAAAAAATAAACTTAAATTATATTATTAAAAATGTAAAAAAAAAGAATTATTATACAATATTAATATTTTTAAATATAATATATTTACAAATATTTAATAATAAATTCTTTCTCTTGCTTTGTCTGCCATCTTTTCACTCACTGTAAAAAAAACTATATATGATCAGTAATCATGTTTTACATTCATTTAGTTTAGCTCATCAAAATAAGCAATATTAACTTTAAGTTATACAAGATTCAACTCGCTTTAAGTCAGTTTAATGTGATTTAAGTCGAAAATACAATTTGATTATACTTAAAAATGTTTTTAAAAAACTAAGTTGAAATAGGTGGACATTTTGTACAGTGTAGCTACTGTAGATTTTTTTTTAAATCTTTTTACCCTGAAGTCAGTGAGTTTATGCCTGGAAATTGTGCTTTCATGTTGTTTTGTAGGTTTTTATTATTATTTTAAGAATGCTTCCACTCATGTTTCGTGGTCAGTGTTGGGAATGTGAGGAGTGTGTCCGTGCCTTATTCAGGATCTCTGTCTTGATTTGTTAGAGGCGGAAGGGTCAGATGCTGGGTGAACAATTCACAAGACCACACATGAAAACCTCCCATCACTACAAGAGGAGCGTTTGCTATCAGAACTGAGGGAATACAGCTTTATTAGGCAATGCTGCTGCTGGGAACCTCATGAACTCCTGCGCTTCTTATTTTAGGAGATTTCTTTTGGATGAAAGAATTTGCATCCAGGCTCCGGAGTAGATGGGAGTTGTATTTATTTCCTTTCCTTCTGCAACTTGTTCCAGCCTTAAAGACAATATCTTCCAGATGAAAGATCAGACGTTTAATCTGAGTGCAGATCTTAGATTTGATTTGCTTTCTAGAAAGTTGCTTTAGACTGGAATATGATCTTTCACAGTATCAGCGCAGCATCACATCTTCTACAGCTCTTTATATATAAACATACGCTCAGAAAATGATCATAGCCAGACACCACAGTGGCTGAGGGCTAAAAATATAACTAGTCCATATCACAATATTTCCCCAGTTGATTGATTAGATTAACAATTGCATTCATTACATTACTGAATTACAAGCTTTCTGAAATGGAATTATTTAATGCAGTCTACATTTCCAGAACAAAAATCTGAACTTTTTGACCGATTGATCCGTTTTGCCGATTAATCGGCACTGATAACCGATTGCTGGAACAATCAGTTATTGACAAAAATCCATACTGATGAATTTTCATCACTGACGCCTCGTGGAGTTTGTTTTGACACTTCAGATGCGGATTTAACAAGACAACTAAACATTAGGGGGGGGGAGATATTGACAAAAATGAATATCTCGATATTTTTTTTCAATATCTCGATATCGATATTCAGACGATATTTTTGCAATCCTTCAAAGAAATGTGTGCAAACTGGCAAAGAAGGTTCAGTTGGTCTTTTGACTTGCTGCATTTGATTTGACCTATTATTGTATAGAATTACTAGTACATAAAGATATGAGACATTATTGATTTAAAGACTCCTAAACTTTTTAAAATAATAAAATATTATTCAATAAAGTCTTTATTGTTCTTTTATATTTTTAATCGGGGTGTAACGGTTCACAAAATTCACGGTTCGGTTTGATACGATACAGTGGTGTCACGGTTCGGTACGTTTTCGATGCAGCAAAAAATAAAGAAATGCCATAGAAATGTAATATTTATTAAAAGAAAATATATATTTTTAAATAAGTGTGAGTTTTCCTACACCTTGAAACTTTTAGTTTTATAAATAGGGGTAATCTTTGAAGGATGAACAAATAATGTTCTGGTCATCACATTAAAAATAACATTTAAATAACATATAACATTTGAGTTTTGAAGTGCTGGAAAAAGATGTGTGACGTACTTGTAAGCATTTTAATATTTCTGCAAAACTTCCATGGTTACAAGATAGTGTTACTACATTAAATCCATGGTGAATGATCTGTGGACTTAAAACCTATAGTTCATTCATGGAACGATGTTTCTCCTGGTTTCCACGTCAGTGCTGTTTGATCCGTTATTAACGGAGAAATTGTAACGCTTCTCACTAGATCTCGCAGCGATGTTATTACTTAAGTGGCGAATTCAAATGCTTTGTTTACGCTTCTCTTATGTAGTAACGGTGTCGGCTCGCGCTGCACTGACATTCGTCCGAACTGTTAAACGGTCCGTGAAGCACAAAATAATGAGTTTCGTTCCGCTTTCATTACATTTGCCATTTGATGTTGGGCAACGTTGTGGTGTTCGCTCCAGCGCGGATTTTGGTCGGCAGGAAAAATGGTCCAACCACCGGAATGGTTCGGTTTGTAATGCGTACCGAACCGATCTCTTTGAAAAAATGTATTCCATCTTTTGGACTCATTATACAACGCAATTTTCTAATGATGCAATCACGAAGCTCGCCACTTGAGGACGCCACAGACATTTAAGAAAAACTTTTTAACTTCAGACTATTTTTCCGCAAACAACGCACATTTGGCCTTTTCTAGCAGCTATTTTATTAATCGTACATTGGCTTTACTCTTTTGGATTGTTGCTTCAACCTAAGAAACGTCATAACACACAGGTAAGAACTTCGTAGTTGTATATTGCAAATTAGTAGCAGCTTTACTCTCGTGCAATTGAGGAACGATCGTGATTTTGTACAAAAAAATAAAATAGTCAAACAAACCC